CTTCCAGAGGCAGTTGTAAGCACTGTGTAACTGCCTCGAGGGTGCTTGGCCATTTTAAACACCGTGGTGCGATCATCCCCCTTGCGTGGAGTGAGGATTGTCGGCCCCGCACAACATGATCCACTCGACCACCATTATGGTTACCGCCAAAAAAAAAACACAGGTAAACAAAAAAACGGTAACCTGGTTGCCGAGTTCACGAAGTGAATTGGCTTGCTTTACAACGTCGTTGCCAAGCGACGAAACCCAATCCCAATGGCTAACACCGGGGGAGGCGGGTTTATTTTCTCAGGTCCGCCACAGCGTTGATGATGATAGCTGGCGGAAAAAAATTGCGCGAAGGGTTTTGACGCGTCGGTCACTGCTCTCCTGAAAAATCCTGAACCCTGCCTATTTTTTAAAAATTACTAAGCGGACAACTACTATCGTTAGTCTCAACCTAACAGGGCAAATGCTACTCTACCGGTACCAGGCCTATCCTCTCGGTTCAGTACTCACCCGTCTTTCTACACCCTTCACACCTCGTTGATTGGAGCGCTCCAAACCAACCCCGGAACTGACCAATAACAAGGTAAACAGAGAGTGGCGGATCCGCCATCATCCATGTATACAAACAAAAAACGAAATGTTAGTATCCACGTACTAGACATTTGCTGCTATCGTACTGCTGGTTTGCCGCTGTTTTGTTTACCATGTACTTGTGCAATGTGCCTCTGGTCTTGTCGACAGTCAAAAGACACAGCAGTCCAATAATCAAATCGCGAACAATACCCAATTTTGTCCCCCCCCATGCTCCGTCCTCTCGACGACGCGTGGTCAGTGGTCTAACCGCTAAGGAATGCAAAACATAAGAGTACGCCCAGCCCCCCACCCCCCCCCTCCCATAAGGTAAACAAGGATGGGCGGCGAGCACAACAAGAGGGCGTGGGGTGCAATCTGCGCTACACACAAGGCGGGGGTACCCCCCCCCCCCCAACCCACCAACCCAACCCAACCCAACCCGCCCCTTCCCATCGCCACCAATTGTTTGCAAAAAAACACAGCAAACGAGTGGAGAGAGTGAGAAGAAAAATCCCTTCCTCCCCCCCGGCAACATTTCCAGACGTTTGAATTTCCTGTCTTTTTTCGCGGTGTGCAACGAAAACCGCGATTCAAATAAGGGGACACAAAACATCAGGAAATGCCCACCATAAAAAACGAACTTGTGTCGGGACACTGAAAAACGGATCTTTCTCCCTCGCAGCTTCTAGTTTAAGAGCCTCAAACAAACGTAATGCCACCGCGCATTTCCCGCTCCTTTTACTTGCCGCTCCAGGAATCTACGACGTTAAGAGGGGAGGAGAGCAGCTACTGCACTGGTTTGTCGGAATAGTCTCCCCTACATGCGCACACGTTTCATACGTACTGCTGCTACCCAAAAAAACAAACCCCAGCGCATCTTGACCCCAACTTCCGTGATGGCAAACGCCAACAACCCTAGCTCGACCATGCTCGCGCATACGTTACCGAAGATAGCTCCTGTACAGCACGCAGGAGCCCTTGCGAGCCAACAAAACGTACATATTCCGAAGGAAGGATCCCAGTGAAGACAGGGTTGCTTGCCTTAGCCTCGCGGGGACCCAAGCAAGCGTGGTGGAACAAGAAAAGTAGCGGTGGGTTTGTTTCGCAGCCAAAAACCCACGAAAAGAACGCTGCCGCTCCAACCCGTTGCAAATCGCGGGCATAGACAGGACACAGCAGCACTTTGTTACATCCTCCGTTCGGAGCGACGCCCAACTATTCGCGAACCGTTCGGGAACAAAAAAAAAGATGAGCTCGCTTCTCCTCTCGCTCCTCAGTCTCTTCACACGCTCGTAGGGTCGGGCATTCCCGATGAATGTTGACCGAAAATCACGGGAACGATGCAAACCGACATGAGGTTCATGCACAGAGAACGCTACCCTCCTTCCCCCGTCCAT